CTAGGCTTGCCTTAAGAGTTTCAGGTGGAAGAGAGAAAAACCTCTCTTGTTTGAGCCACTATTACTTTCAGTTTTCTGTCACTTGTAGCTAAGCAGTTTTAACTGATAGAAAAAAAAGTATGTATATATAACTTATATATAAATATAATAAAATACAAATATGCTATAAATGTATCAACCATGTATCTATGTTATATAGCTTATATAAAACATATATATTATATATGTGTGTGTGCTTGTGTGTAGGTGTGTGTTTAGCTGAACTGACTGAAATACAGTTGGCTGAAGCCTAGCATGGATTGACAGCTGTAGGCCCATAGTCTACATGAGGTTCTTGGATATATTAGATATGTATTCACATATTTTAAGATCTGTGAATACTAGGCAGGGCATGCCTCACAAATCCCTGTGTCTCATGTCTGACTGTGTCTGTGTAGATCACCTCCCCCTAAACACACTAGCATTTTCAGCCCCTTGTCCTAGAATGAACTGTGCTTAGGTTATAAGGAGTGGATTATTCAACAGCTTCTTGCCAAGTGTTTTGCTGCCCATTTTCTCTTCTGATGTCTACCTGATTCAAAGAACCATTTATGAAGAGAGGAAGAGGTCAGAATAAGAACATTTCACTCAGCCTCTAAAAACAGAGCTCAGTCCTGGAGGGAAAGTTGCCTCTCTCTGGTGGAATTGGCATTAATCACTTATATGCAATGGCAGGATCAGGGCCAACCATTTGTGGGGATGGGGGTGGATGGGGTTTTCTCTGGTCATGGGTAGGTGTTTTCTCTGCTGGGAAGAAAGCAGAACTCTTTCCCATCTCTGAATGCCACCTCTGACCCAGATTTGCAATCAAATATCATATTGGACAAGTGGGCCAGCAGTTGGGATCTGAAGATTTTTTTTTTTTAGTAGAAAATGTCACTCTTTTGACATTTGAAATCTGGCATAATGTAATTGAAGGAAAAAACATGGCTATGGAGTTTTGTAGGCCTTACTGAAATATGTTGGGGTGGGATGGGGGCAAATCACCTCAAGGGGTTTATCACAAATAAAGACAATCTAGCTCTTGACTCAAGAAGCCTTGCCATTCAGAATTATCAAGAGCAGTGCTAGAGAATGCCACTTAAGTCAGAAGGTCTGGGTTCAAATCCTTGCTTTCCACACTCTAGCTGGGTGACCTTGCCAAGTTGCTTGACTTCTCTGTACACAATAGTTCTGGTGTATGCTAGAGCTGGCTTGTCCCTGTCAGGGAGTTGGGTGTTCGATTATCTTCCCAGTTGTGTTCACTGGTGCCATGCTGGCTATGGTGGGAGTCTTTACACGGGAAATGGGCGAATCACGTCTCCCCGTGCATTTACTAGCAACCACTGCACATTTCCTAATCTGTACAATGAGGCTGACAGTACCTATCTCACCCAAAGGTTGAACTGAAGGGATTCATGGGAAGCACAAATGATAGCCCTTAATACATGTTAGCATTCTAATTCTTTTAGCTATGTAGTAATAACTCTGTTATTGTTGAGAATATTATTTGGAGAGGCAGACACAAGATCTGACTTGCTCTAACATTGGTTGGCACCACCATTTAACCTCTTGGTATCTGATTTGCCCCTGTGGCTTATTTGACTGTCAGTGCAGCCTGCAATTTGCCTTGAAATTCGAGTTAGTGAACTCGGTGGCCTAACTTGGATAATGGGCCATTGTTGGCAGAGAGATGCAAGAGTTTTGGAAGAAAAGTGTGTGTGTGGTACATAGGAGTGGAGGATGTACCCTGACTGGATTGTGGGGAAAATGGACCACAACCAAAGAATACTAGAGACAAAGGGCTTTAAGAAACTGTGCAATCCAGACCCTTGCATTACAGATGAGGAGACATACACTGTCAGGTGGGGGCTTGGATTTTCTGTTTTTGTTGTTCCGGTTTCCTTGTTGATCAGGCTAATGCAATCACTGTCTTTTTTTTTTTTTTTTTTTTTTTAATTTTTTTTTTTTAATTTATTATTTCTAGGAGAGAGAGAGAGAGACAGCGTGAGCAGGGGAGGGTCAGAGAGAGGGAGTCACAGACTGAAACAGGCTCCAGGCTCCGAGCTGGCAGTCAGCACAGAGCCCGATGCAGGGCTCGAACCCACGAACGTGAGATCATGACCTAAGCGAAAGTCGGACGCTTAACCGACTAAGCCACCCAGGCGCCCCTAATGCAATCACTGTCTTGAAGAGATATCTGCATCCCCATGTTCATTGCAGCATATTCACAGTAGCCAAGATATGGAAACAACCTAAGTGTCTATTGATGGGTAAATGAAGATAAAATGTGTGTGTGTGTGTGTATACATATATATATGTACATATACACAATGGAATATTATTCTGCCATAAAGAAGAGGGAAATCCTGACATTTGCAACAACATGGATGGAACTTGAGGGCATTATTCTAGGTGAAATAAGTCAGGCAGAAAAAGACAAATACTGTATAATCTTACGTATATGTGGAATCTAAAAGAAACCAACTCCTAGAACAGAATGATGGTTGCCAGATGTGGGGGAAGGAGGGTGGAGGAAGTAGGTGAAGGTGGGGATGTTTTAAGCTGCTTTCACCAGGATCATAGCCCCATATTTTGCATTCAGCCAGCAGTTAAATAGCTACTCTTTTTTCCTCAGTGAATATCTCATGAATTTTTCAATTTCCATGAATGTGGAATGACTTAATAAATATTAAAATACAAAACCAAAAACTAGTATAAAAGATGGAAAGACACAATCCAAAATGTCAACAGTGTATGTCTTTGGACAGTGTTAGTAAGACACACCTGGTTTTGAATTCTGGTCCCACTGCTTAGAGCTTGGGCAAGTTACTTCACCTTCTGAGCCTGTTTTCCCCTTTGTGAAATGAGAAGGCAAGCCACTCCTGCCCCACACTGGGTTGACTTGAGAACTGTATGAAGGGACATCTATAGGCTGCACATTACTACCTTCTATGGACCATCTACCACTATGTCAAATCTGAACGTTTTGGACATTTGTCCATTAAGTCAAATGCTCTTTCACCTTTGGGTTTTTCTTTGCTTTCTCATGCTTTTTCTAAAAGGTAGACATGGGAAAAAGAGCTTACAATGTCAGGAAATCTAGGGACCTTCAATGGGAAAGGAGGTAAAGCCAACAGTAAGTGAGGTTTCTAAGTCAATCTCACAGGGAGGAATGAGCTCAAATCTTGGAACTGTGAGGAAATGTATGCACTAAATTTGAAAGTTGCATTCCTTTCTCGGGGTAGAAGATATTCACCTGTTGAGAGCTCACTGGAGAGGACACAACCACACCATACTCAAATCCAGATAAAGCTTTTAATTACAAAGTTAATAAAAATAGTAAAAAATGCAGATTTCCCCATCTAGTATAGATAAGAAAGCAAAGGAGACTGAAAGACACATTAATTTAAATTCATCATAGGAAGTTAGATGACCTTTTGCACCCAATGTAAAGAGTCCTTAAGTTGCTCTTGGGAATAGCAGCATTTAAAGTTTTGTTGGTCACACTTATTCCTTTGGGATGTGGCTATATAGTCATGAAAAAAATGTTCCCTGGAAAATTTGGTGAAGACCAGTCAACTCCTTTGTTTGTTTTCATGGGAATGGCAGACAACCACGGAAAGCCAAGGAAGAGAGTTATACTGAAGTTTCAATTCTGGTAAGTTGTGGAGGGCTGTGCTTGGCAGCAGACATGTAACACGTGGCCTCAAGGAACATTATTTTAACCTAAGGCCTGACCTAATCTTAAAGACATGACTTAGGTTCTAAAATAATAGAGCCCAAGACTATATAGAAATGACCAACACCAAGTGAACAGTATGCTCAGCACTAGTTTCTATACAAAACATTTCAAGCAAAGTTCTTTATGATGCGGACCACATTTTCCAAGTGCCTAACCCACCTCCTAGCTTTAAGGTGGGCCTTGGAAGTTCAGCTGGTGCCTGGGTAGTTTTCATGAACATTCACCTCTAAAGGGGAGGCTGAAAGAGGACTTTCCAGTAACAGCTTCCAGCTCAGGGCCTGGGGTTTCCTAGACAGGACTGTCTTAATGTGGTTCCTGGAGCTGTGGAGACCTCTCTTCTCAAATGTCTTAGTTGGAGAAGAAAGCAGTTGATGTTTTGGGGCATCTGAGCTCTGGCCAGCCTCCCAGAGGTTTGAATCCTAAAAGAATTTCAAAATGGAAACAGAGCCTCTGCTTTACCCTTGCAGCCCAAGTCCTTTCTGTGACAGGAGAACATTTATAAAAACATAATTAAATACTCTCTGATATTTCCCTCTACCCCTGATATTGCTTCTTTCTTTCTCAAAACCCATTGCTCCCAAAGCTGACAATCAAAGCAGAAAATGACAACCGAGGCAGTTATTAATTGGCTCACACTCCTGTCTTGAGGCAGAGATGACAAGAGCAAAAAGAGAAAAAGAGTAAGTCTATTATTAGCTCCTGATTTACAAAATGTAGATGGAAGCCAGTGAGGAAGCCATCAGCCCCTGAACTTGGTGGTCTTTGAGAATAGGTTTGTCCTTCTCTCCCTGACCAGCTCGGATGGAGACCTCAATTGTAAGCCTGGATGCAGGGAGGTGGTCTTCATAAACAGAGAGAACAGGGCCCATGTTCCTGAGCCCCAGCTCAGAGCGGAAGCAACTGAGACATGCAGCTGGGTTGAGGAAAGGATTTCCCTCTTCCCCTGTGTCACCCATGTCATCAGAAAGGACTTTAAGGTAGCTGAGGAATACCCAGGATGGAAAAGGACCTGCAGTTGGCAGCACTAACCTCAGGGGACCCATGTCCAAGACCAGGTGGGTCAGTAGTCACCTCTGCCGAAGTCACTGATGACACTGCAGGCCACTGCTCTGACCCCCTGTCACCAACTAGTACCAGGTAACCCCACCTTTCCCCTCCCCACCCCCAGACCTTGACCTATAGGGAAAAAGTATGAGTGTGGACTCCTGCCATTTTCACAAGATGGGAACTAAAAGCAGTACTGTTAAGGAAAGACAAATTGCTTTTTATACCTGAGTTAGGGAATAAGATATATCCTTGGCTACATGTGCTTTTAACCTTTCTGTCTTTCTGCTGACTTACCAACAAGGCAGAAGGGCACACTGGTGACCTCTAGCCATATACCTGCAGGTTCTAGAAGTCATAGGACTGCAGCTACATACTGGGCTGTAGTGTAATCTTGGAGTATTAGCCTGTCTTCTATCCACCCATTTTACAGAAAAGGCCACTGAGGCCCCCTCCATCACTGGTAGGACAGGGCAGAGAAAGGAAAGGGGTATGCTCGGCAGTGTATTTGAAATGAGGCAAGGATTCTCATCTGAGGGACCAGTGGTGAGTCGATGTTGTCTGTCAGTCTGGACTCTACACATTGTATAAACTGAAGATCCAATGTGTCCAGGGAGGACCGTCCTTGGCTCACCCTCTGTGTGGGCAGATCTGCTTTGCTTCAGTCCTGACCACCAGTCAACTTGTGGAACAGGTCCTCATCAAGTGTCTCATTCTGGTCCTTGGACCGGGTGGACAAGAAAATGTAGCCACCGATGTATTCATGCACAATCTTGCAATCTGCACTCAGGCAGGTGAATGCAATGGAGACATTCTGGTCAAATTCGATTGCCACCTGGAAGAGGAAGGCACAAGTGAGCTTAAACTCTGACAAGGAAAATGAAGAAAAAACTGCCTTGTGATGGTGTCAGAGCTGAGGCCTGCTTAGGTGGCTTACAGATAATTCCTCCTGCTTCCCCCCAAACCCCTCAGGCAAAAAACAAAACAAAACAAAACAAAACAAAACCAATCCCCGGAAAGCAAAAAACAACCCCAAAGCAATCACCATTTCCATTGAATGCTTACAGCAAATTTGTCTTTGCTCTCGCTGCGCCCTCTTGTGGTGTCAGCTTTGCTGCACACCTGGCAAAAGATTTCTTAATTCCCAATACACATACATACTTTCTGTCACTCTTGTTTAGATGTAAGAACTTCCTAAGCACTCCTTTGGTCGAGGGGCAGGGTACTTAGCAGACTTTTTGAGGGAGAATAAAAGGCTCCCCTGAATTTTTCCGCACCCAACAGCCCTGCAGCCCTTCCCAGCTGAAAGTCAGAAGCTCTAAATAACAGAAGAACCATTCTTCACTGGTTCTCAAAACTTGGTTGCCCAAGTGGACTTTTAAAAATTACTGATGCCAGCCTCCCAGTCCCACAATCTGGGATTTGATTGGTCTAGGGTGTGGCCTGGGCAGTGGTGTTTTAAAGCTCCCCAGGTGATCATAATACTGAACAAGGTTTTAGAGCCACTGCCTTAGAGGCCACCTAATCTCAGCCTTTTATTCTACAAATGAGTGCCTCTGCTGAAAGGAATCCATGGTTCTTTAAAAAAAAAAGAAAAAGTATGAGTTTGGGGTGCCTGGGTGGCTCACTTGGTTGAGCATCTTATTTCAGCTCAGGTCATGATCTCACAGCTTATGGGTTCGAGCCTCTCATCGGGCTCTATGCTGGCAGCTCAGAGCCTGGAGCCTGCTTCCGATTTTGTGTTTCCCTCTCTCTTTGCCCCTCCTCTGCTTGTGTGCTGTCTCTCAAAAATAAATTAACATTAAAAAAATTAAACATTGTAAGTCTCTTATCATCCCTTGAGGTGGATGGCTTTCTACCGAAAAAAAAGAGAAAAGATTCTTTATCAGTATCAGAATATGTTAAATAAGCTGGATGCAAACATGCCTCTGACTTGATCTGGAATTTCCCGTGGCTTGAATTTAGCTCCTGGGGTGCAGTTAATGGGAGGCAGATGGTTTGGAGGCCCCCTAACTCAAGAGGCAAAGCTTTGCTCAGTCATCCCTGCTCACATCACTTGCTTCTCTAACAGTTTTTCCTTTTGGGGACTGGAATGCTCTCCATGTAGGCAGATGAGCCTTTGAGTCCTGAACTAGTTGGACCTCTTGGGAGCCCATCAGATGAGGCCTTTTTGGATTCATTTTGGATGACAGTTCTATCTCAGAGAGTATCTGCTAAGTAATTTTCAGTTTAAGTGTTATATAATCCTATTCTGAGTTGAAGGAGACTAATCAAACTGCTCAGCAATTTTAGAGTCTGTATGGAAAATCTACATGGAGACTAAGCCAACCCACGGTGTTAATTCAAAACCATTTGGCTTGTACTTGTTAGGAAAATGCCCAGAATTTCATGTGATTATTTTAGCAGACAATGACCATGTGCCCGTGGTTCTTGAGTTCTAAATGTATGAACAGAGTAAAGTACAATTCCAGTGGAACACACGTGTATAGGTTCAATGCTGAATATACCAAAAACTGTCACTGTACCTGCCGGATTTCCCAGTTCACATTCCACTGCTTCATATTTGTGAATCTCCATGTTGTGATTGGAATCCCAGTGGTTGCATCGATTCTAATCAACCTATTATAGGAAACTCCCAGAATATCATCTTTCTTGCTTCCTTTAAATCTAAAAAGAAATTAATATGAAAAGAAGCAACTGCTTTCTGTAATACAATGTTTATTCGTATACAACTTCTTAAAGATGATATGAACATTTCTAAATGACATCTGAAGAATGGACAGTGAAGGATTAGCTTTCTACAGAAGGCTATTTTTACTGTGATATGAAGCACATATGAAGAATGGAGAGAATTAAGGCTGTCCTGCACACATCCTTTATGTAAAACTGACATCAGTGGAAAGCAAAGTAAGAAAGGGTCAAGTCAATTAATTAAAAATTGCCAACTGTGTATGCTCGGCACCCTTCTAGGCACAAGGAATATAGTAGTGACCTCAATAGACAGAAAATGTCTATCTTCATGGAGCTTGTATTCTAGTGGGGGGATAGAGTCATGAATAAGTGAAATATATATGGCGAATAAGATCATGAAGGAAAATAAGACACAGAAGGGGAGTAGGGAATACTGGCAAATGGGGGTGGTTACAGTTTTACAAAGGGAGTCAGGGAAGACTGCAGTGAGAGAAGACATTTGATTAAAGATGTTGGTGAGGGAATGTGCTACGTGGGTATCTGGGGAAAGAGTATTGTAGGCAGAGGGCACAGCCAGTGCAAGGCCGCAGCATTTTATGTATGTATGTACGTATGTACGTATGTATGTATGTGCTCAGGACCTGCCAGGAGGCCTGTGTGGCTGGGCACAGTGAAGGAGGGGCAGAGGTGTGAAATCCCAGAGCTAAGGTCTCGTAGGGCCATTGAAAGGATTTGGCTTATACACTGACTGAGCCAGAAGGCCTTCAGATGGTTGTCGGCAGAGGCCTACCATGGTTTGACTCAGATCTTAAAAAGATCACTCTGGCTGCCAACTTAGGGAACAAGGGGAGAAGCAGGGAACCCAGGCACGTACTGTGAAAAGAAGGTAATGAAGATCGTTATGAGCAGCCAGTGTATTTGGGCCATTTGTGAAAGAACAGGATTATAAAATAAAAAGAGTTCTACATTCTAGACTGAGAAGAAACTGGGATCCAAGAAAGGCACTTCGAAACAAATGGAGAGCAAGAGAGGCAAGTGAACATTGTAATCACCTGACAAGGTAGTAGGTGAGGCCAAATTCAGGTAGAGATTGCCATGCCTGGATGAACCGCAGCTTGGCTTCGACCAGGGGCATCTGGGCCACATTCTGGTGGGCTTCTAGGATCCGGGCTGCCAGCTAAGCAGAAGTGATAGACATCAAACTGTCCTTAGCATACAGTGACTATTCTATAATTGTACCTTTAGCTCAGGTCCCCAACGAGAAAAATAAATGCAAAGCCCAACTGTAGCTCTACAAAGAGAATCAATTTTCATTTGTTCATTTGTTCATCCACTCATTCATTCATTCATTCATTCTCTCTTCCTCTCTCTCTTCTATGAAACATGTAAATCACTGGGGAGAAGAAGGAACAAGATCAGCCAACACATAAACTTCTAAGGTTCATGTAGATGGAGAGTTCTGGGTCCCTCTTTCTAGGGTCTATATAATGTCCATAGACAGTAGTTCTACTTACATCAGTCTATTTGTGTAACTTTTTACCCCCTCTGATGGACACGCAATTTAAAATTTTAGTTTGTGGGGACTAAATAATTTCATTTAAATCTGGGAATATTACCATGTTCAGTTAGCAGTATTCAGCTCTAACAAAATGAACAGTAGTCTCTTAACATTGTCTAACACCGAGTCCAAAGTCAAATATCCCCATGAGCCAATTTTTCTTTTTTTTAATTTTTTAATTTTTTTTTTTTTTTCTAGGAGAGAGAGAGAGACAGCGTGAGCAGGGGAGGGTCAGAGAGAGAGGGAGTGACAGACTCCAAAACAGGCTCCAGGCTCTGAGCTGGCAGTCAGCGCAGAGCCCAACGCAGGGCTCGAACCCAGGAACCGGGAGATCATGACCTAAGCGAAAGTCAGACGCTTAACCGACTAAGCCACCCAGGTGCCCCCCCATGAGCCAATTTTTCATGATGATGGCCTCAATCATTTTAATTCCTCATTGTACTTCAGAAAATACAGAATTTACTGCCAACAGTCACTCAAACAAGATTAGCAGTACCTGCTTAGACTTAAGTTTTTTTGCATATCGAGGCGACACAAAACATTCAGGGTTCATGTCCATGGCTTCAATATTGGAAGCCACCTGAGATGCTGAGTTCCGATTTTTCATCCTCAAAAATGAAAGGATGTTGAGGACCTCTGGCTGGTAGGAGCTGTCTGCCATGGTTTTGCCCTTCGATGCCAAGATGCAAGCAGCCATCCATTGGGCATATTGATTCTCCTGCAGCAAACATAAGAGGGCTAAGACACAAATTCAAGTGCAAAGCCACCTTGCTGGGAACAGAGCAGGAGGTGGGCTTTCATTTCTACAATATACGAAAGTGTCACCTACTAAGCAAGGAAAGATGTGAAGTGGCACATGTTCTGAATGACTGTCAATCACCTAATTTAACACCGAACAAAAGCTTTTGAGTCCCATGTTGAGTTTCTCTATGCTAAAAGGCTAGAGAATAGGAATGTCAGCTGTGACAAATTCCATGCAGGCAGGGAACTTTGCATGTAAAGATAAACCAAGGATACAAGAGCACCATGGAGCACAGACAGGTGAAAACCCAAGCTACCTGACAGATTTCCTTGATATATATTTCCGTTTTCATATCATGTCTGATCTCTATGACACAAGGAAATGAGGGAAAAATCATTAACCGATTTCCCATATAACGTCTACCCTGGTCTGTTCTTAGTAAAGATTTGAATCCCATGGAAGGAATCAGGTCCACTGATGGGCTCTGAACTTGTCAGTGGTGGCCTCTATTGTTCTTTAATGTGTGTGCTCATTTTTTACCTCCGGGAGCCAAGTGGAATTATCTCAGAAGCTGAGGGGATGCAGCTGAATGGCAGAATTCTTCAGAGCAACAGTAAGTATCGTACACTGAATTACTGACCTCAGTCTTCATCCTCCTGGTATTCACACCTTTTGCCATGTAATTTTAGTCTATCTCATCAGAGCCAAAGTGTAATTTCACACCTCTTGACTTTGAGCCCCACCATGGACTTTTGCTGATGGAATGTAGGTGGAAATAACTAGTAACTGAAAGCCCAGGCTTTAGGAAGTGTGCCATGTTTGTAGTTCCTCTCTTGAACTTCCACCATCACTATGAGCAGAGCCTCCCCAGGCAGCTGGGCACCCAGAACAAATACAGTGAGCTTAACCTCCAGCAAGGAGCCAAGCCTAGCCAGACCTGCGGCTGGAAGCAGATCTGTCCGGCTGACACAAGGCTGTGTCATCCAAGCCCGTAGATGTTTCAGAGACAAATGTTTATTGGTATCTGTCATTTGATTTTGTGGTTGTTTGTTACAAAGCAACAGCTGACTGATGAGTGCTCTGATTTGAGAAAGCATCTCAGCTGATTTGTCCTTAGGTTTAATAAAGGTGAAGAGAGTTAGCATTTTTGTTAGCATTTTACTTACATGGTCACATCTCAGATATACTTCATTCATACCATCAGCAACAGGGATTAGTAGCTTGATTCCAAATTTTCTCCCTGCTACATTTACATCTGGCACAACTTCACAGCCTGAATGATAAAAGGAAGGGGCAAAACTGAGTTCTGAGAAAAATGTCATATCAATATCAGATGTGCATCTAAAAGAAACACTTTGAATACAAGCCCTTCAGATTTGGTTCTCTTCTGAAAAACTGAGGAGCAAGCAGACAACATTAATTAAAGGATAACTAAATAAGACTCATGAACAACTAACAAGGATAACAAAAAATATTTTCTTTTACTCTTTTAAATATGTCATCAACTGAATTCACTTTCGAGGTTGATTTGGCTATTCTAACTCATAGTAGCACTGAATTATGAATATAAACTTTTAAAATAAATCAAAGTGGAGGGAATTTTCTGTCACCATATGATAAGGGAACTGAGTGCATTTGGTTAAGTCTTTTTTCAGTTGATGGAGTTACCAGTACACTCACAGCCACTTTCAGAAACTGGTACAGAAACTGAAGTGACACTGAATTAAACAGAACCATTCTGGAATGTAGAAAGTCTTCAGGCCCCTACAATGCCTTGTGTACTACTACATTGATGACACCAATTATCACCACTCCATAGGTCTGGATGCATGGGGGAAGAAAGGACAGCAGAACGCTGCAGACAGGCTGCCAGGTAGAAACCCGCGAGACAGAGAGGTTCCTCTGGAAGTAAACCCTGCTTCATTGGGTAGAAGTCTCGGCTTTCATGTGCATATGCTGGGTCATGACAAGCCCATACCCTCATGTAGGACTCCCTTACCTCTAAGATTTAGTTTTTCTACTGGTTCTCCTTGTTCAAGTTCCTTATTTTTAAAGTAGGCTATAGATGTATCTTTAAAGATGAACCAGTATTGTTTGAAAGCTTTTAATATTAGCTTCTTGGGCCTGCAAATGAGAGTACAGTTAGCATTTTAACAACCACCCAGAAACACAGGAACACGTTGCAGATTTCAAGTGCATCAAGATGCTCTAGAAACCTGTTCATATGCCATAATCTTTATTTTCTTTTTCTTTTTTTTAAATGTTTTTATTTCTAGGAGAGAGAGAGACAGCGTGAGCAGGGGAGGGTCAGAGAGAGAGGGAGTCACAGACTGAAACAGGCTCCAGGCTCTGAGCTGGCAGTCAGCACAGAGCCCGACGCGGGGCTCGAACCTACGAACCGCGAGATCATGACCTAAGCGAAAGTTGGACGCTTAACCGACTAAGCCACCCAGGCGCCCCCATACTCTTTATTTTCGAAAGTAGTTTTCAAATTCTAAAAAGTAAAACTGGGGTTTTTAGTATGAGATGTAGAAGTTAATGCAGAATCTCAGGAGTTAGACCATTCTGGCTCGGCTACTGCCTAACGTGTGACCCTAACGTGTGACCCTGAAACTTCATCTGCCGGGACCAGGTACACGGCCTCTGTGTGATGGGTACAGTACCAGCCTCCAACTCACAGGGCTTCTGTGAGGACAGAAAGAGGTAATTTCTCAACGTGCTTATCACAGGACCTGGCATAACTGAAGTGCTTAATAAACTACTATTATTACTGTTATTTGAGAAACATCCATGAATCTGGGGACATCTGTAATTTCTGTAATTGTAATTGGATCTGAAAAAGCTGTCCATATGGACAACAGTTTTCAAGTGATCAGATATAAAAATTAGATCTAGGGGCGCCTGGGTGGCTTAGTCGGTTAAGCGTCCGACTTTCGCTTGGGTCATGATCTCGCGGTTCGTGGGTTCGAGCCCCGCGTCGGGCTCTGTGCTGACTGCCAGCTCAGAGCCTGGAGCCTGTTTCAGTCTGTGACTCCCTCTCTCTCTGACCCTCCCCTGCTCATGCTGTCTCTCTCTCTCCTAGAAATAAATAAAACATTAAAAAAAAAATTAAAAAAAAAATTAGATCTAAAAGTAAGCATTGTTTTCTGTGGTTTCCTCTTGATCCTTAAGAGAAACCCCTGAAGAATTCCCAGCGAGTCAGTCACAAAAATCTACAGCTAATCTGTATAGATTCTACTGTTATTAAAAAACAGTTTTGAGGGAAGATCTCCAAAAGTGGTATCTGTGGGGGCCGGAACATTTTGTACTCTGGGCTGCACAAGGTTGGTGGTGCCAAAGGCAGGTCTCAGTTGGGTCACTGAAAATAGAAAACATGAGAGCGAGCTGGGAAGTGGGAGAGGGGATACATCTGGGCACAGAAAAGATAACATGAGCTATACATGGTTCCGTGCAACAGTCCCAGCTGCAGGGGTGAATCTCATGCTAGAGCAGTGGATTTCTGTATTCAAGAATGAGAGAAAGAGAGGAAGCCTTGTGATAACCCCACTCACACATAATTTGGGACAAGATTTTTAACAAGTCAACCTTCGTCTTAGCTAAAACTGTGTTATACTTAACACAAAGATAAGGGATAAGATGTTCATTAAAAAGCCAGTATATAACATAAAAAGTATAAAATAAAATTGAAAAACATTATACACGGGTAATATTTCCAAGATTTACAAAACACTGCATCAAAATAACATTACATTGAAAGCTGAAGTTATAATAATTTTAAGGAACACATTTGAAGGTTATTTGTCTAAGAATCAGAATCTCCAAAATTAATAGTATTTTCAAAATAGAATCAGAAAACAAGTCTTTAAGAAAAAGACAGTAAGGTTTCAGTTAAGTTCTAGGTATTTAAATATTTCTATTCATAATTAAGAATGGAACTCTGTTACTCCATTTTAACTGGACTTGAAGAATATCAAAAGAATCCCACTGCTTTCATCTTCCAGGGTGCTTCCATTCATTCCCAAAGCTAATGATTATTGCTCCTATTTCATGGTCTAGAGGCTGGAGCAGGACAGGGTAGGGGAAGAAGTGGAAAAGGTGGCCGCGTGGGGCATGATAAACACAAGAATGAGGCAGTCTTCTCAATCTTCATGGAGCGCGTAGGGTCAAGAGAGAAATGCACACATCAATAAATAAAATATGCTAAGTCACAGAACTAGGATGTGCAGTGTGATGAGTTGCAGAGGCCACAGCACTTAAACACAGAATGAAGGATGGATAAGAATTTGGAGGAAAGGGAAGAGAAATTTCAGAAGGTAGCAATAGCACACGCAAAGCGTAGAGGTGAGTCAGAGTTGGGCACCTTATAAACAAGACTTGGGTCAAACACTTCTTGAACACCTCTACCTCATGCTGGGCACAGAGCTGAGCAATGGGCATTTCTGTGGCTATGACATTTCCATGGGTGGAAGATGATGGAGACAAGGAGTGGCAAGATAGGTTGGGGCCAGGGAGGGACTCTGAATGTTCTATAAGGAGTTGGACTTTATTTTCTAGAAGAAATGTTCTCAAACTCTGGTGTTCTCAAAATTGGAAGGGAGCTTGTTAGAAACATGCAAGTCCTCATCCCAGAGACTCATATTCAGCAGGTCCAGTTAGGCCCTGGAGTTCTGCATTTTAAGTATGCTTTCCTAAGGTGATTCCCGAGTTTGAGAAACACTAGTCTAGGCCAGTAATCTCCGAACTAAAACTGGGTACACTCCATCTTTACAATATTTTGTGTATTTTAATATATAATATTACCCATATATACTATGTAAACATAATCCCCTTTGTTTAATATATTTACAACTGTTTATTTGTAATATTTGTAACATATACATTATAAAACCTATACAAATATATAAATTAAAAATGAATATGAAGAATTCAGTTTGTTTCAAAAAAGGGAAGTTGTTACTCAGTTACATAAATCCCAGTTGAGGAAGTACACTGTTGGCCATGCTTACTAAATCACAATGTTCACTATGTAGTGCCATCTACCTAGTTTTGAAGGTTTTGTTGAAACAAAGCTACTGAGTTCCATCTTCCCTGATGTCAATCACTCACTTATGCAAATTAATCATAATATGTTGCATTTTTATATTTTTAATAAGTGGTTTAAAACACATTATAACTTCAGGCCACCTAGGTGGCTCAGTTGGTTGAGCATCCGACTTTTGATTTCAACGCAGGTCATGATCTCACAGTTCATGGGATGGAGCCCTGTGTCAGGCTCTGTGCTGACAGTGTGGAGCCACCTTGGGATTCTCTCTCTCCTTCTCTCTCTGCCCCTAACCCACTTGTGTGTGCTCTCTCTTTCTTAAAATAAATAAACTTAAAAAAAAACACACTATATTTCATTTGGATGGTGTTTAATGCAGAAAAATTCTGTTTCCAAGTTTTAAAGGTGTGCAGATAACACTCTTACGTTTTAAACTTTGAAGATCTAATTGGCTTTATTAAGTGATTCATAAATTGGGCATCATCCCATCTAGCAAGCAGAGGGGAGCTCTGAGGTGTGGTTCAAAATGGAAGACTGTTAGAGGAAGGAAGTTGGGGTAAGAAAGTTATTAGCAAAAGAAAGGACTGTTCTGGGCAAGGTCAGGAAGGGCAGGAGGTCTTATTAGGTGGATTACCTCACCTTTTGGGAGATAGAAGGCTCATGTGACAGATGACCTCATTGGTGCTGATCAGAAAATTCCTCCTGACCAGTTAAGACTAATTTTTGGGGAAGGTTGAAACTGCAGTCAGGTATAAGGTCTCAGTTTGGTGACTTGGTCTGAGTGATGGCATTTTGGGCCTGTGGTTTTCTTTATAACAATTCTCCCCTTTTGATCGGACTCAGCTTAACTGAGAAATGTGATCAAAATTTAAGGCAAGATACTGTTGTTTTAATAGGCACTGTCATCACTGGCAACACTGTGACCAGGGAAACACTTTCAAACAATGCTCTCTTCATAGCACTAGTCTCTTTCAAATACTGATTATGTTCTTACTCATTTCACGATCAGCTTTTCCTCAAAGGAGAGGTTGTTTCTTATTTTGAAAGCAACTGGAGGCTTATTGCTGATGGTCAGTTGTCATCACAGAGAGGTCATAAATTTGGAACACTATCTTTTAAAAAAACAAGAGTGTATCAGGGCATCTGGGTGGCTCAGTTGCTTAAGCATCTGACTTCAGCTCAGGTCATGATCTTGTGGTTCATGAGCTTGAGTCCCGTGTAGGGCTCTGTGCTGATAGCTCAGAGCCTGAGGCCTGCTTTGGATTCTGTGTCTCCCTCTCTGCCCCTCTGCTGCTAGTATTCTGTCTCTCTCAAAAAAATACCAAACAAACAGAGTGCATAACTCCACTTAGAGGTATTTTTCCATGTGATAACCAGTGTGTCTTCATGGGACTAGAAATTTTCATAGTCACTCTCTCTTTATGAAGGATTATAAAGATTCCAGTGTGTTTCTGGTGTCTTGTATTTCTCTCACTGATAATCTCCTATAGCACATTGTGTAAATCTGCCTGGACCTGCTTTGCTACAGTACCTTGCCTACTTCCCTACAGTAACTTGTCTGTGAATGATGCAGTGAATGACTTTTATGTGTGGCTTCCATCTCTGTAGTCCTCTAGTGGAGCCATTTTTCCCAAGTAATCTCTCCAACAGTGGTCACAATTTACAATTTGGACACAAATCATTGTTTTTATTAAATATGTAACTTACTAGTAGGACTGTATCTTGTCTGGTTTATCTTTAGGGGTCTGCATAAAGTAGAATCTTGAAAGGCTAGTTGGGCATAAAGTTCTAGACTGACTGTTACTTTCTCTTAGCACTTTTGAGACATTTTCCAGCCAACAAGAAGTTTGCTGCCCACTCAGCTGTTTTTCTTGCTAGGAAATCTTTTTTTTTTCTCTCTGATTTAAAGACTTTCTCTTATCAATGGCTGCTGGCCTTATTAAGATGTGCATCTACAGTGATTTATTTTGCTTGGGATTTACCATTCTTGAATTTAAGGATTTTTGTCTTTAACAATTATGCAAGATTCTCAAGCACTCTTTTTTGAATACTTGCTTCTCTCCCATATTTTCCTCTACAATTCCTAGTAGATATATAATGAAACTTCTCATTCTGCCTAAAACATATTTTCCCTTTCTACCTTTCTGTATTCTCTCTTCAACCATGTCTTTAAACTTGATATTCAATGCACCTATTCAATTTTAAATTTCAATGACTAAATTTTTTGTTTCTAAACTTTCTATTTGGTTCCTTTTCAATACTGCCTCTTCTCTTTCATGATGATTGTTACCTTTTAATTTCCTTAAGGATTCTAAACATATTCATTTTATGTTTTTTTTTTTAGATTGTTCTGTTACCTAAAATTATTGAAACTGCTAATCTTCTTGCTTGTTGGATCTGTCTTTCCTTTATGGGGTTCATGAACTCACATGGTTCGTTTTTATTGGGGGCTCATTTTTTAGAGGGTTATTGTTTTTTCCAGAAGGCCCATGCTAGATTGTGGATATTTCCCTCCAGGTATTTTTGCAATTACATTTGCTAGGGCTTCACAGGTTTTGTGTCATGGCCAGTTTCTTTCTTTCTTTCCTTCCTCCCTCCCTCCCTTCCTTCTTTCCTTCCTCCCTCCCTCCCTCCCTCCCTCCCTCCCTCCCTCCCTTCCTTCCTTCCTTCAGAATTCTCTTATCATGTAAGGCATTTATATTTAGATCTACATCCATGGGTGACACAGGACTTGGCTCCATTTTCTCTAGAGAGACTTTTCATTTCTCCACACAGAACCCCATGCAGGGACGAGCTTACTGCTTCCTGTGGCTGATGGACAGTTTCTCTACTCCCTGTTAAACAGAGAAGTAAGCCCTTGAAAGTTTCTGTCATTAGACACAGGCTTCAGTCCTGCATCAGTCCCTTACAATAGGCCTAAAAGTTCATCTCCTATCTCTGCCCAGGGACTAAAATCCCAGCCCTAGCCCATGATAATCGATGTCCATGGCCCAAATCCCTCTTTGCACATGAGGCTTCATTTGTAGAATTAGGTTTCTTCTGTATTTCCTACAAACTGTACATTCCTAGTCTCACTTCAATGCTGTATTTACAATTCTCTTATTTTTACTTTATCAGGCACTCTGACGTATTTATGGCAAGACCAAAGTTTGTATTAGATTGGGTGCATTTAAATCAGTTGCTGGAAACTGAAGTCCAGTGTTTATACAGTGGGTTCAACTGATTTTGTTCAGGGAGAATAAAGAGCTTCACTGTTAAAGAAAAAGAAACAGTATAAATCAAAGGACTAGCTCCATGCTTTTCTACTGATAAGGAAAGGAGGCTCAAGGAAAACGAAGGGCCTTTAAGGGTCACACACACACCAGGAATAGAGCTTCAGGGGCACCTGGGTTGCTTAGTCGGTTAAGCGTCCGACTTTCGCTTGGGTCATGATCTCGCGGTTCGTGGGTTCGAGCCCCGCGTCGGGCTCTGTGCTGACTGCCAGCTCAGAGCCTGGAGCCTGTTTCAGTCTGTGACTTCCTCTCTCTCTGACCCTCCCCTGCTCACGCTGTCTCTCTCTCTCTCTCCTAGAAATAAAAAAAATAAATAAAAATATTAAAAAAAAAAAAGGAATAGAGCTTCATTCCCTGGTCTCCTTCCCCTCTTCCTGTGTCTCCTTTTTCTTTGCTTCCTTCCTCCTTCTCTTCCTCCCTTCCTTCTTTTCTTTTCTCTTCTCCTTTTTCTCTTCTTTCTTTTCTTTCCTTTTCTTTCTTCCATGAACTATATAATCTATTAAATTCAACACCTTCAGACTTTTGGTAGATACAGTGACCACCGTGAAACAGGAAGACAATTCTGTGAGCCTGAGCAAAGCAGTCACAATAAAGTGAAGTAGATGTAGGGCTCAACTTCTTAATATCCTCTCCTTCACTGAAAACATCTATAGGAAGGGAACTGTAGTTATCTGGTTTGTCAAGAGCTGGATTTGCTCTATACAGAGAACATGGCAACCTACCTTCTCCTTAGAATGGTTGTTTAAAATTATAAAGACGGATTTATGGATTCAAATGATTACTTTTTTTCTGTAGCTCTGGCTATATAACAATATGTGTGGTTGCAACCATTTATGCCACAAAAGTTAAATTAATGATCCTACTGTTTGAGACCACATTCCATGAACACATTGAAAAAAAAAGCAACCTGTAGAAACCCAGTGACAAATATTTCTCATTTATATCTGATTCACTGTTCACTTTTCCAAGTCTTGTTTTGCATCACATGTTACCAAAACCCACTTGTATTTCTTTTCAGGCCAACTGACCCAGTGAGGTGTTGGTTTGTTAAGAAAAGTCAACAAATCATAAAGTGAGAGGAGTAACTGATAGAACTTCAAAGGGATCCTATTCTTTTCATCTTAATACACTCTGGCACCGTCACAAATGTAGCAGTCCTTTCTTCCCACAAAATAAAAAAAACTTCTCTGCCTTTTTAACAGTTTCAGATTGATCTGAGGTGACTGGGGAGTTTATCAGAAGCACTTTAACAGGCAGAGGTAGCTAAACCGGGGTGACTACTCTATATAAGCACAGCACCAATGTTCTAGAGACAACTGATTTTTAAACCATGAAAGAACCTTCAAATGATGTCAAGTTTTGAGCCTCACAGATGACCATGACAGAAACTCCAGTCTATTATATATGTTCACTAATTGCTGATACCGCCATGTTTACACCACCATTTACTGAACATTTAAAAAATGTTTAATGTTTGTTTATTTTTGAGAGAGAGAGGAAGACTGCAAGCAGGGGGTGGGGAGGGTGGGTAGGCAGAGTCAGAGGGAGACACAGAATCTGAAGCAGGCTTCAGGTTCTAAGCTGTCAGCAGAGCCCGATGGGCTGGAACTCACAAGCCACGAGATCATGACCTGAGCTGAAGTTGGACACTTAACTGACTGAGCCACCTAGGTGCCTCCATTTACTGAACACTTAATGTGAGCCAGGTGCCATGCTCTATGCTTCATATATATTATTTCATTTAATTCCCCCCAAGAAACCCACGAGGAGGTATGTCTGTATTTTATAGTTCAGGAAACGGAGGCTCAGATACATGACAATGCCCTAGGTAACTCAGCTAGTATGTTGTTGAGCTAGGATTCAGCCTATGGTCTGTCTGATGCCAAAGCCCCTGCTCTTACCTTTGAACCATGAACCTGACTAATGAGGTTCAACTAAAATTCCTGGACTCTTTTATCTGCAAGGCTTTGTTATGAGCAATCCTTCTCCCCCTTTAAGGTGACTTACCTAAATAATTTGAGGTTATCTGCAAGTTGAGGGATATCAGTAATGTCCTCCTAAGGAAAAACAGATAATATTTCATAAGCAGTAATTAGGTGCTGTTGATACTCTATACCTGCACTGTCCAATACTATAGCCACTCATCCCATGGAGTTATTAAAATCTGAATTAATTAAAATTAAATAAAATGAAAAACTCAGTTCCTCAGTCACACTAACCACATTTCTAGTAGTTACCTCAGCGGTTGGGAAGTAGGTGGAGGCGGGGGGAGAAGGATGGGGCTTCTGGGTAGCTGGCAAAGTTCTAGTTCTTGTTTTGGGTGGTAATATGGGTGATAATTTAATACAAATTTGTTAAGCTACTGGTTGCTTTTTGTTTTTTCACTTTTCCGTTTGTGTCACAGGTCATGCAAATGAAAAAAGGGATGATAAAAACTGACCAAGCGCTACCCTTCAAGTAGAATGAGTTAGAAACTGCTACTTTTATGTACAAACAAAAAATTATACAGATTCTACCTCAGAGCCAGTAACTCTAGTTACATGTAGTTCACTGATTAACTTCTCACAAGGAATCTGGTTCAAAGTTCATTCTGCAATGTCCGTTGGTGCCTACCTTCTAAATGAAAAGCCTATTGTGTAGCCTCACATGAAAATATGAAGGCAGGGAGGAGGGAATTTTTCATTTATTTTGAGAAGGGTCATGGTGTATCTAGTTAGTGGAGGAAGTAGACAAAAGAAAATTCCAATTTCATGGGGCCTGTGTCTCCCATAAATGTGAGACAGAATTCTCACATGTCTCACATGTGAGACAGAAATTCTGAATGTCTACAGAATCTTGGCATTTAGTTTGTATAGAATATTTGCTTTTGCATTATACTAATTTCCCATTTTAAGGAAATTAATCATAAGTAAACATGCATTAAGTAGCTAAGAATATAGTGACTCATTTTAATGTTACTATTTATATTCAACTACAATGGATCTACCTGTCTGATTCAATGTCAATTAAACTAATATTTACTCCCATGATTTGAAGAAGTTAAACAGAAGGGTGGTACTCAATGAATGAATCAGATAGGAGAGGCATTCTGGTTATAAAGCTGCCATTTGGCCACATTTCATAGATAAGGAGACGATAAAATAGTTGTACTACTTTATGTTTCACCAGAAAGTTTTTGTTTATTTCCTGAAGTCAGAAGATGTCAGAAACTTCTTAGTGTCCTAGAATAAAGGCCCTCACTGTGTCCACCTTGCCCAGCTGCGGTGCATGATGTTTAGGTAGATTATAGGCTTTGTATCTGTAAAGCATCTTCAGCATTCTCACAGCTAGCCATGCCATGGACTGGGCGGTTCTCCCTAGACCTGAGAGAAGGGACTGCTTCCATATTCCTGGCATGGAGCTGGCTTAAGATTCTCTCTCCCTCTGCCCTTCTCCCTTGCTCGCAAATATTCTCTTATTTGAAATTAAAAAAAAAAAGCTCATTTAATATTTGTCAATCCATGAGCACACAGCCACAGTTCTGAGTTACCAGGAAAGTTCATACCAAGGTATTGTCCATTTTTCCACCTTCTAGAGTCACTTCCAAATTGGAGAGTGCTGCTTCTACTTCGTCGACCTCGGACTCATGTGTAAAATCCTGTGTTTCAGCCGACAATGACAGTTTGCTAATGTGATACTACAATGCAAACAGAGGTTTTAGAAATGTTATAAACCCAAATGAATCCATTAGCCATTTCTTCTTTCTGAAGGCAATCCCTCCACTCCCCCATAGTAACAAACATTTCCTGGAAGGAGATTTCTCTCCCGTGAAGGGAAAAAGACATTTTAATATTATTTTGATATTTATATTTAGTTGTGTTCAAACTTGATTCTTCTCCACCACTGGTTGAACCTGTAGTGAGGATAAGAATTGCGAGACTAATACCTTATATAAGATGGGCCTGTGTGTGGGTTATGAGACATATTTTAAATTTAAATAGACTCCCCTCATTTTCAGTTCTTTCTTCAAAGAAAAAACAGAATGAAGAAAGTGAAACTTTAAGAAAATGAATTTGTTTTCTTCCAGAGAAAAGGTACTGAAATTCCCATACCTGTAATGCTGCAAAGATCATCATTTCTTCTTCCGTGCAGTCAATTTCTTCTAAGAGAATGGCCCACCTGGCTTGTTCATAGAGTTGGTTTATTCGGACAGCATCATACTAAGGAAAGAAGCAGGTAGGTATGTGTGTGTTGGGGGTGGGAAATACCCCTCAGTACAAAAATCTGGAATAACTGAGGCCATGCCTTGTTAATCAGAAGCAATAAACTTGTGTTCAGATAAGTGAAGGGAATGCCTCTCTCTTTCCAATGCCTCAGTTCATTTTACTTCTGAACTTAGCACTTTCTCAAAATATTTTCCAGAGCATCTTCAAGGGGCCAAATAGACCCATCTCAGATTCCATGATTTCCTCCTCTCTTTTATCACCACTTCCACTGGAGGGAAAAACCATCACCACCATCCATCGACAGGACTCTCTTCATCTTGCAAAACTGCCACTCCGTATCCATTGTACTCCCCACAGTGAGTATACAGTTTACTATATCCTTTAAACAAAAGTCGAGGAGAGCATGGAGGAGGAACAGAAAGAGCGCCTAAACAGATTTATCACAGGTTGGTTAGCATTAGTTTATTTTTCCTTTTGCATTACCCTTATATACACTAGAAGAAAGGTGACAGGGATGTAAAAATGCCTAGCAAGCCCAAACCAGCAAGGAGCATTGCTGTGAGGTCAGCGGGAAATGGGACCTATCCCACAGGCACGCTCTTCCTCAGCAGTGCTAAAGCTGCTGGCCAGGCAAGACAAGTGCTAACCCAAAAGTGTGGTATTCCGGAAGTTGGAACACTAAGAACCTTAAGAAAGTCTGTCTTTGCTTTGTGAACTTCACTAGGTGTCATGGTACAGCTCAGGAGCTAGCCCCAGTATCCTCCCCGAACCCAAACAGAACACACGTGAGAATGTTCACAACAGTGTTACTCATGGCAACCCCTGACCAGAAACACTCCAGTGTCCCTCACCTGGCGAATGGATAAACAGAATGTAGGCCATGTGCACCAGCGGAGACCTCTGGGCAGTAAGAAAGAGCGTATTATTGGTATGTGTGAAAACACAGGGGACCTCAGAAACATGTTGAGTGAAAGAGGTCAGACGCACAAGATTATATACTGGAGGGTGCCATCTATGTGAAACTTCCAGGAAAGGCAAACCTCGAGATGGAAAGCAGACCAGTGGTGAGCTGGGAGCAAGGAGTGACCACAAATGGGGTAGAAGGAAACTATTTTGGGAGATGCAAAACTTTTTTGGATTGTGGTGATGGTTGCTCAACCACCAGAATGTACTAACAATCATTATTTTAGAATTTCGTGGCATAATACTGCAGTCAAAACACAACAACTAACTAAAGGAACTAGAGGCAGAGCAACAAGAACGCCCTAAACCCAGTAGAAGAAGAGAAATAGTAAAAATTAGAGCAGAAATAAACAACATAGAGACCAAAGAAACAATTGAACAGATCAATGAAACCAAGAGTTGGTTTTTTGAAAAAGTAAACAAAATTGACAAACCTCTAGCCAGACTTATCAAAAAGAAAAGAGAGAGCACCCAAATAGACAAAATTATGAATGAAAATGGACTTATTACAACCAACCCCTCAGAAATACAAGCAATTATCAGGGAATACTATGAAAAATTATATGCCAACAAATTGGACAACTTAGAAGAAATGGACAAATTCCTAAACACACACTCACTACCAAAATTCACATGGGAAGAGATAGAAAACCTGAACAGACCCATAACGAGTGAAGAAATCGAATCAGTAATCAAAAATCTCCCAACAAATAAGAGCCCTGGACCTGATGGCTTCCCTGGGGAATTCTACCAGACATTTAAAACAGAATTAATCCCAATTCTTCTCAAGCTATTCCAAAAAATAGAAATCGAAGGAAAACTCCCGGACTCATTTTACGAAGCCAGCATCACTCTGATTCCCAAGCCAGACAGAGATCCAGCAAAAAAAGAGAACTACAGGCCAATATCCTTGATGAATACGGATGCAAAAATTCTCAACAAGATCCTTGCAAATCGAATCCAGCAGCATATAAAAAGAATCATCCACCAAGATCAAGTGGGATTCATTCCTGGGTTACAGGGCTGGTTCAACATTCGCAAAACAATCAATGTGATACATCACATCAATAAAAAAAAAGATAAAAACCATATGATCCTGTCAATAGATGCAGAAAAAGCATTTGACAAAATACAGCATCCCTTCTTAATAAAGACTCTAGAGAAAGTTGGGATAGAAGGAACCTACTTAAACATCATCAAAGCCATCTATGAGAAGCCTTCAGCTAACATCATCCTCAACGGGGAAAAACTGAGAGCTTTCCCCCTGAGATCTGGAACACGACAGGATGTCCACTCTCACCACTGTTGTTTAACATAGTGCTGGAAGTCCTAGCATCAGCCATCAGACAACAAAAGGAAATCAAAGGCATCAGAATTGGCAAAGAGGAAGTCAAACTTTCACTCTTCGCAGATGACATGATACTCTACATCGAAAACCCGACAGACTCCACCAGAAGCCTACTAGAACTGATACAAGAATTCAGCCAAGTTGCAGGGTACAAAATCAACGTACAGAAATCGGTTGCATTTTTATACACCAACAATGAAGCAACAGAAAGAGAAATCAAGAAACTGATCCCATTCACAATTGCACAAAAAACCATAAAATACCTCGGAATAAACATAACCAAGGATACAAGAGATCTGTATGATGAAAACTATAGAAAAATTATGAAGGAAATTGAAGAAGACACAAAGAAATGGAAAAACATTCCATGCTCATGGATAGGAAGAATAAATATAGTTAAGATGTCATTACTACCTAAAGCACTCTACACATTCAATGCAATTCCAATCAAAATTGCACCAGCATACTTCTCAAAACTAGAACAAACTATCCAAAAATTTGTATGGAACCATAAAAGACCCCGAATAGCCAAAGTAATACTGAAAAATAAAACCAAAACGGGAGGTATCACCATCCCAGACTTTAGCCTCTACTACAAAGCTGTCATCCTCAAGACAGTATGGTATTGGCACAAAAACAGACACATAGACCAATGGAACAGAATTGAGAACTCAGAAGTGGACCCAAAAGTATACAGCCAACTGATCTTTGACAAAGCAGGAAAGAATATCCAATGGAAAAAAGACAGCCTTTTTAACAGATGGTGTTGGGAGAATTGGACAGCAACATGCAGAAGAATGAAACTAGATCCTTTTCTCACACCATGCACAAAAACAAACTCAAAATGGATAAAGGACCTGAACGTGAGACAGGAAACTATCAAAACCCTAGAGGAGAAAGCAGGAAACAGCCTCCTTGACCTCCACCGCAGCAACTTCTTACTTGAAACATCCCAAAAAGCAAGGGAATCAAGAGCAAAAATAAATGATTGGGACCTCATCAAGATTAAAAGCTTCTGCACAGCCAAGGAAACAACCCAGAAAATTAATAGGCAACCAACGGAATGGGAAAAGATAGTTGCAAATGACATATCAGATAAAGGGTTAATATCCAGAATCTATAAGGAACTCACCAAACTACACGCCCGAAACACAAACAACCCAGTGAAGAAATGGGCAGAAGATATGAACAGGCACTTCTCCAAAGAGGACATCCAGATGGCCAACAGACACATGAAACGATGCTCAGCATCCCTCCTCATCAGGGAAATACAAATCAAAACCACACTGAGATACCACCTCACGCCAGTCAGAGTGGCTAAAATGAGCAAATCAGAGAACTCTAGATGCTGGCGAGGATGTGGAGAAACGGGCACCCTCCTACACTGTTGGTGGGAATGTAAACTGGTACAGCCCCTCTGGAAAACAGTGTGGAGGTTGCTCAGGAAACTAACAATAGAACTCCCCTATGACCCAGCAATAGCACTGCTAGGAATTTACCCAAGGGATACAGAAATGCTGAGGCATAGGAGCACACGTACCCCAATGTTCATAGCAGCACTCTCCACAATAGCTAAAACATGGAAAGAGCCTAAGTGTCCATCAACAGATGAATGGATCAAGAAGATGTGGTTTATCTATACCATGGAATACTACATGGCAATGAGAAACAATGAAATCTGGCCATGTGTAGCAACATGGATGGACCTTGAGGGTGTTATGCTGAGCGAAATAAGTCAGGCAGAGAAGGACAAATATCATATGTTTGCACGTATAGGAGGATTAGGAGGAACTTGATGGAGGAGCAAGGGGGAGAAGAAGGGCGGAAATGGTGGGGGAAAGGGAGAGAGGCAAACCATGAGAGACTCTTGAATGCTGACAAAAACTGAGGACTGATGGATGTGGGGGGAGGGGGGGATGGGCATGGAGGAGGATACTTGTGGGGATGAGCACTGAGTGTTATGTGGAAACTAATTTGACAATAAACTATTTGTAAAAAAAAAAAAAAAAAACCACAACAACTAAGAAAAACCACACACAATGCACACCAAAAACCAAGCAACCTCTGCCCCTCCCCCACAGACCCTGCTTAATTAACAGTCTAAAGACAAAACTCCCAATAAGTATGGGCAGCTACTAAAATTTGTATTGGACTGTCATATCTGTCTGTCTATCTGCTGCCAGTCAGTCACGGTGTCTGCAGTCCTAGTGCAGTAGGACTTTTAGTGAGAGGAAGTTAAATGACCCGATAAGGCGTTCCTCTCCAATGCAGTCAGTAAATATTTTTTTTAAAATTTTTTTAATGTTTTATTTATTTCTAGGAGAGAGAGAGAGAGACAACGTGAGTAGGGGAGGGTCAGAGAGAGAGGGAGTCACAGACTCTGAAACAGGCTCCAGGCTCTGAGCTGGCAGTCAGCACAGAGCCCAACGCGGGGCTCGAACCCGCGAACCGCGAGATCATGACCTAAGCGAAAGTCAGACACTTAACCGACTAAGCCACCCAGGCGCCCCAGTAAAGATTTAAAAAAATTAACCAAAGCTTCCACACCTGAACAAACCTAATTCCCCCGCCACTCCTTCGAGGCCAAGTAAAATAGTTCCTTGAAAGAATATTGGTTAAACAAAAGTTACCTACATTTACAAATTGACACGAGGAGAACAGGATCTAGTAGAAGATGTTAGAAAGGACAGGATAAGCCCTGGCTCCTACTGCGGAACACTGGATTTCTCTGTGGCAGCCAGCAGAGCTCTGGATTTTCTTCTTTGGAGGCTTGTTCACGTTCCCCCTGGGGCTCTGGAATATCACAAGGTCCCAGGTTTTATGGGTCACTTACAGGCACCCTGACAAGGTCTTTTTCTCTTTGAGAACTCTGTCAGTGGTTTTCCTGGCTTAGAAACAAATTTTTCCCTTGGTGGGGTCTGGCTGCCCATGCCCTCTCCTTGGCCCTAGGTTTCCTTTGTCTTCGGGTTTACTGAAAATAGAAACCCCAGACTGGAAGCACAGGATTGGGATTTCTGTCACCTCCATTGCCTGAATCCCTGTTTCTCTCCCTCCAATCAATTCAGTGAACCCTCTCTCCTTCCACCCACCACCAATAACAAACAAATAACAAAGCCTGCCTCCCCAAGTTTCAGGCTCTCAGGAAGGAGGTACTATTTAGATCTAATCATCAAGGAGTCCCTGTTAGCTAGCAGGCAGCCTTCAGCGTCCTCTAGGATTCTTATTGAAACTGCCACGCCTTTATCTCTACTGAACATTTAAAAAAATACTGTGAATTATTGGAATTATAAAAGTTATTTCAATCCACACATTTAAATGGGGGCAAAATAATAGATCATGAAGGAATTCATTTTGAATGAATCCTAAAGGGACAAAATAATGGACAATAAAAAGTTAAGTCACCTTCCCTTCATTTTTCCCTACAAATGGTAGTTTCTCTATGGATTGTTTTTGTTCCTTGCTCTTTTTCACTCAATAATATACCTTGAATACATTCTACATCAAAAAAAAAAAAAAAAAGCTGACTCAGTCTTCTTAGCAACAGCACTATATGGATGTATCATAAGGTCTTGAACCACTTCCCTGCTGATGAATGTTTAGGTAGTTTCCAGTTTTCTTACTCAAATAATGCAGCAATAGCTGTTCCTGTGCAGACATGTTAATTCACATATTTGTTGAGTAACTGTGGTATAAATACCAAGGAGTGGCTTTGCTGGGTCAAAGCTATGTAGCATTGTAACTCTGATACATATTGTCAAACTGCCTTCCATAGGGACCAGGTTAATTTGTACTCTGACTTATAGTCAGTGTATGAGAGAGCCATTTTCCCAACACTCTTGCTAAGATAGTGCATGAAACTTTTTGATCTTTGCCAGGATAGGGCTAAAAGTCATTGTAGTTTCTTTTCTGTGAACTACATGTTCACTTCCTTTGCTCATTAGTCTACTGGGTTGTTGGCCTTTTTATTATTTATTTCTGGGAGCACTTTATTAGGGGAATTAACCTTTTGTTTGTATGTGTTGCCAAGACTTTTTCACTTTGTATATAGTTTTTTGGCATGCATAAGATTTTCATTTTTTATGAAAATGTACCAATGTTTTCTTTTATGGATGCTGGGTTTTGCATTTTTAAAGTATATTATTTTTGAAATTTTATATATTCTAGTATTTTTGTATATCTGAGATTTTAATCAGTACCTGTTACCTTGGTTCTACAGCCTGCCTGTGTCTCTCTTCTGAAAGCTGGAGAAGAGAGGCTCTCTGAGCCTACTGCACAATTTGGTTCCCATTGGTAGGTTGCCTTGTCAGTTTTACATTGGTTTTATGGGTGACGTCTTTGTTCTTCTAGAATTGGTTGTAGATTCTATGATAATATGAACCACATCTTAAATTTCTGTACCCCCCCATCAGCACATAGTATGAACCTTAAATTAGGTTATATTTATAGCATTCCGTACTTTAGACAGGGGGAGAAATGGAACTCTAAAGTGGTTGGGGATCACTATTCCTGTGCCCCGAAGCCTGAGTCTTCCTGTCACCTTTGGGTTGACAGCTTCTATTTGGCTGTTAGATTTGAATAAGTTTTGTTCATGGGCCATGTAGAGAGAACTGCTTTCCAATTAAGCAAACATGATCATTCACAGTGCCCTTGAAAAACATCAAAACAAAAAATTCCCTTCCCTTTTACAAGAAGCCATAGAGTAGTTTCTCCTGAAGGTTTCATCAAAGAGCTAGAATTTGCTCTTTCGCCATGATTCAGGGGAAGTTATGCACTCCAGACACAAGCTAACGAGCTAGGTCCATGGGCATTGAGTTGGATCTAAATCAAAGACTGAGCAGGAGCTCTACAGAAATGACCAGGAATAGGGCTTATTTTGAAGAAGATGCCAGTTAAGGAAGAAGTGGGAGTGGAGATGTGTCTTTGAAGACCAGACTTCAAATCAGGATCAAGAAGACAGTGCCATGAGAGGCAAAATCACCACTTTGCATGAACAAAGGTCTACACAGAAGAGGTGGCCTGAGGTGTGCTCCTCAAACAGGTGCCCGGCAATGAACAGAAAAGAGCAAGAAGCATGAAACTGGGATAAAACCACCTTGTGCACTTGGAGGCCTGGTGACTCAGTTTATATTTTCTACATTTGCCTGGTTAAGTGCTGACTTACAGCTCCACAAAAGGGCCAAGCAGGGGTGAGGAAGGGGCAGAAATTCAGAGGATTTATTTCACTACTCAGTTGTCCTAGTAAACTTCAGGTGGCAGGTGTGCACTTAATGGGAGTTGGTGGCCAGCTGGGATCTTTATTTATACAGATGGTCCCTCTTTCCTGCAGTGGGGAGTGTGGTGTGCACTATCATGGGGCTCATTCATGAGAACCTGCTCTTTTTTTTATTCTATTTCTGGAGAGAGTCTTTTTATTTCTTGGGGTGACTTTAGCCACTTCTGTTTGTTGTATTGCATTCTTTTTTTGTTCTTAAACAGTTTATTGTTAAGTTGGTTCCCATATAACACCCAGTGCTCATCCCAACAAGTGCTCTCCTCCATGCCCATCTCCTCCCTCCCCCCAACACCCATCAGCCCTCAGTTTGTTCTCAGCATTCAAGAGTCTCTCATGGCTTGCCTCCCTCCCTCTGCCCAACTATTTTTCCCCTTCTCCTCCATGGTCCTCCATTAAGTTCCTCCTAATCCACCTATATGTGCAAACATATGGTACCTGTCCTCATGAAAACCTGCTCTTAAACTTGGCTTGACACTCCTTCCTTCTAAGCATTAAGGATTCCAGCTCTGTGGGCCACTCTCCTCTTATTCATTTGTTTGTGTTGATGGAGACGGGCAGTGCACACTGCTGGGCAGGAAGACCCTGACAGACTCTTGCTAACTCAGGGGCAGCTGACCACACTTGCCAGAAACTAAAAGACGAACATCCAAAGACAGTATGTATACATTGACTGTTCTAACCCTACAGAGCGAAACAGAAGATTATACAGATTAATCCTACTTCTGATAACTAAGTCACTCAATTTTACACTTCCATGCATTCACATTAAAAAAAAAAGGAGAGAGAGAAGAGAAAAGATATCTTACTTTTGGATTCAAGTCAAAAAAAGTGTAGTATTTAAATCGTAACAGCAGCTGTTCATCCTCCTGGATGCCTTGTTCCATAAGGGAACGGGAGGAGTCCAGCCAACTAGAAAACAACAGGATCAGTTTTAAAAGTTGATCAATTTTACACACATGTTACAATGTTACATAATATGTCTGTATACATACTTAAGTTTATATACATGCATTTACATTTATATACATATACACATATATGTAAACGTATATGTGTATGCGTATTTCCTTAAACAAAGTCCGATAATATAACCAAAAACTTGTAAGGGAGAGGACTTGATAATAACTTATATCTGCATTTCATTTTATAGCTTTTACAACTTTCCAGGTGCTTTTTGTATATAGATCTTGTTTACACAGATAATTCAAAGGAACCCAGTGAAGGAGCCAAGGCAGTTCTCATTTTCTCAGTTTTATAGGTGAGAAAATGGAGTTGTAGGGACATTAAGTGATATGTTCAAGGTCATGTGCCTTGTCGTGGAGCCAGAATGAAAATCTGTACCTGCTGACTTCCTGCACAGCCTCTCCTCTACACCAGCTGGTCCGACTCAACGCTGGGTCTATCTTATTGTCCAGAACTTTCTGTAACAATGGAAATATTCTATATTGTCCTGTCCAATAGAGTATCCACTAGTCACATGTGGCTACTGAAGATTTAAATGTGGCTAGTGCCACATTTTAATTTTAATTAAATTCATATTTAAATGTAAATATCCACATGTGGCTGGTGACTCCTGTACTGGGTAGTACAGTTCTAGAGTTGAAAAATAAATACTGGGTAATGGTGAGGGGTGGGGAATGGAGATGAAAAGTTAACAGCAGAACGAGGCAGGGATGAGTGGCGTCCAGTACCACAGAATGAAAATGGTTTGAATGTCTATTATAACAGGCTTTGCGGGGGGGATATAAGGATGACTGAGATGCAATCTCTGTCCTAAAGGAAGTGACAGTCCAGTGGGGGAGAGTGAGCATCAAAAGGCAGGAAAATGGTGACACGGGAGCGAGTAAGTGTCAGAACAGGAGTGCAGGGGCGTGAACTCATCCAGGATGGTGGTTTTGAGAAGGAGGCAGTAGATGGCTGGGTCTTACAGGACAAGCAGGGGCTGGGTCGAGCAGGAAGAAAGGAGAAGAATCCTGGAGCAGAGCAAAGGTAGTGGTAGAAAGTGTGTGTGTGCGTCGTGGGAGGAATGGGGCATGTGAGCGCATGGGATGGAGACATCTGCTGGCCAACTCTCACTGGGGGTAGAATGCTGTGAACAAACTTGACTTTACTTGGTGAACAGTGGGGACTGAAAGAAATGGTGGTTTGAGAAGTAGTCTGAGTGTATTTTCTGAGATGACTTCAAAGCTTGAAGCACTCACTCATTCAAATACTTAACAGGAGAGAGACATGGTGTCCCACAAAAGGCAATGCAGGCCAGGTGGGCCCCCTTGGGTCTCCCCACTGCTGCATGGGACCAACCCACTTATAAACTGCTCTATATCCCTGCACATCTACAGGGACGAAGAAGTAGTATTCACGTAGGGCAATCCATTGAGTTACCTGAACACATAAATGTTGCCATACTTCAAATGTACTGCAATGACCAATGGTGGCATTTCTCCCTTTTGTAGCCAAAATCAGCACTGATCTTTGCCAATAGTGTCCAATTCCCAGGCATGCTAACTAAACAATCCCCTCTCCCCCACCTCTGTGCCATCTCTCTTACTGTATCAACATCAATTTACAGAGAAGGAAAACGGAGCCATGTCCTTACCCTGAGTTAAGCTTTGCTTTGTCAACCAGAGACCGAGGCTGGTACATATCAGCCAATGCTTCTGGTGACTGGGGGGGTTGGCTGAATGCGAGGATGTTGCAGTTTTGTTCAGTCAAAGGGCTGTCACTGAACCACGTCATGGTGGATGACGCCGGCGTTCCACTGATGGGATCATACGTGGGCGTCATGGTTTTACTGTATAATCCAGGACTTACTGCAAGGCAGAGGCAAGCATGCACTATGACATGAGAATAAGGGGGAGGAGTCTTTGGGAAAATAAATACTAACATTGCTTATACTAAAATGGATTTTGAATTTAAATGTTTGCAGTATTTACAGTAAGGAGATGAGTCATGATAGGGGAAACATTTTTAGCTCCTGGGGAGGCTGAGAACTCACAGGCCACAAAAGCTTCCAAAACTAACCCAGACAAATGTTGGGGACTATCTCCTTCTCAATAATTCAAAATTCTATTTGGGGCACCTAGGTGGCTCAGTGTGTCTGACTCTTGCTTTTGGCTCAAGTCATGATCTCATATGACTTTGCGAGTTCAAGCCCCACATTGGGCTCTCCACTGGCAGTGCAGAGCCTGCTTGGGATTCTCTCTCTCACTCTCTCTCTCTGCTCTTCCTAGTCATGTTCACACACACACTCCCTCTCAAAATAAATAAACTTACCCTCCCTCCCCCAATTCTATTTCGGCAGTAAGTTTTGGCACCATTAGAAAACAGAAGACCTTACAGAATGCATGTACAGACCATAGTTTTGGGCAAATCCTTTAAACAAATGACAGCACTTGCCAATTTTAAGAACCTGGCTAGTTGATGGCTTATAAATCATGTGGTCTGTGTAAGGAAAGGGCAAATAATCCCTTTTACTCTTTGCATTGGGATATACTCTGCAAGAAAATCTCTGATATTACAAGCAAGCTAGAGATTGATTTGTATTTATATAAGAAGACAAGGATAATGTCTTTCCAGAATTTCTACCTGCCCTCCTGTTACATGCCCAATGCAAAATTTAAATTGAATTCAGGAAAGAGTCACATGAAGATAGAATTAGGAAAAGTATATTTGAGTGATCCAACTAATCGCTTTTCCCTTCAAATTCACAGCCAATTCTCCTGAAGTTTTGCATTCATCAGCAACATTATTTAACACAATTAAAATAATGAGCTATATAGCAAGTAGAGCACATGACTCTTGATCTCAGGGTCGTGAGTTTAAGCCCCATGTCAATCATGGAGCCTACTTAAAAAAAATAATGAGCTATAAAACAAACCTTGTTAAAAAAATTCTTTGAGTTATAAAATTAATTGCATATCTTTTCCTCATCACAGGAATCCTGCAATTTTAGTCCTTCATTGTTTGGGGGAGAAAAAGGGAGGGAAGAAGAGAAAGGAGGAGCTGAGGAAGGAGACTTCTTGGGATTTAAGAAATCCCTGGATTCAAGCATGAAATAAAACAACAAAACACCTGTCACGAATCATACCTGGTGGACCTGAAGTTGTTGGAGACCCCTCCAGATTTAAAATATCTTCAATTATGGGCTCCTTGTTAGTTTTGTCTTTCTTTTTCTTCTTTTTAAAATAGTCACCAGAAGGCTTTAACAAGGAGAGTTCTTCTGATCTTCTAATATCTAATAGACACACAAATAAATATAAAGAAGAAAGGAAAAGAGTAAAAAGAAAATTCCTTCGAAGACTCAGAGTCATGCTGGGCATCTGAAATCATTTCTCAGGAAATTCCTGAGAAGTAAATGGAACTAAATTGCATCCCTTTGGAAGAAATAGATGGGTGGGGGAGAGGGGTCAAAGATTGGAAGGAGATTTAATCTAATAAAATTTCTAGTTGTTTTTTAATTTATTATGAAAATATTTCAGACATATCCAAAGCAAAGGGAATAGTATAATGGCCTCCTCATGCTTTCATCAGCCAGGTTCAACCACTATAAGCATTTAGTTATAATTTCCCCTCCCTCTCTTTTTTTCTTCAGTTTTTAAAAAAATAACAACCAAGACCCCCACCATTTTCTTTCTAGAACATAGATCCTGAGAGCCTTTCCCTTACACTGTGTGCAATTGGTAATTTTATTCCTGTGGCAGACAACATCTGTGTCTTGCCCATCTCTTCTGGGCCCTCACCACTTCACTGCACTCTGACCCAACTTCCAGTGGCAGCAAGGACAAGCATCTTTCTGCCTGAGGCCTTGCTCTGGATGCCAGAGTCTGCACTGCCCAGATGCTGATTCAACAGGCCTCACAAGTTCAGAGAATTAACACTTCCAAAAACAGCCCCCAATGACTGACATGAGGGTATATTAATACCCCCACTCCCTCACCCCCATTGGGTGGAATAGTTCTGAGCCATTTTTACATGGTCTCCCAGAGGCTCCCCAATTGCCCCAAGTGTGATTTGATTGGTGACACTCTTACTGGTGGCCTTTTCTTTCCAGTCTTCGTCACCCGCAACCAGTGTTTTCTGGAATCACCTCCTCCCACTCAAATAAATGTACTTGAATTCTTATCTCAGGGTCTGCTTTTGGAGAACTCAAACCAAGATGATTCCCATTTTTCTCCCTTAGTCCAATATATTTATAACTGCCATTGCTAATCAGAGCTCCTGATAACCACGAGCCACACTGAGGTTCTATATGATTCCAAGTGAAAGCCAAGGAATATGGATGTTAGAGTCTGTGAGCAGCTTTCTGGGAGGCAAATGTACTGATTTCTTAGGTCCTGCCATTTCTAAAACATTGCTTAGTGCTGAGGCTGAGGCTAGCAGTTCAGCTCCGTCCTTTCCCCCTATAACTAACGATGCTTGATTGTCAGGTTGCGACACACACCTGTGCCCATTCCAAGTGAATAATTTATATATGAGACTTGGCGATGAATCAGAATTTCCAGTAGAAGCATTAGAAAAAACAAAACAAAACAAAACTGTCTCTAAGCCAAAGATTGGTGTGTTGTTATATCTTTGTGCGAAAACCCATCATATTGCTCAATCTGATTTAGCTTCAATAAAACAGATATTAAAAAAAAGTGATTAAAAATGGCAAGTTGAGCCCTTTAGAACTACTATGAAGATATCTGGAAAAGAGAAGAACATATGACTGCTTCTGTATACTTTGAAACCTCAAGTTTTCAGTCCCAGCCATGTGTGTTTCCAGTCTCTGTGGACTGGGCTTTATTTAATCATTTACTTTGTTTTCCAATCCTCATTGTAATAGTACTGAAAACAGGGTGCCCTAGGTCTTGCCATTTGCCCACCATGTTCCAGGGGCACTGCTGGTGAGTTCTGTAATGGAAGGTTCCATTCATTTGTTCACTTAACAGTTAACGAGCAGCTAATGTGTGCCGGGCATTGTGTAGGTGTTAGGAACACGGGAGTGCTCAAGTAATGGCTTCTGTCTTCACCCTATTTAATACCATACCAGCCCCCACTGCCCACTGGACTCCTAATCCTGCACATACTGTTACAGCTTTTCTTTTTTTCTCTACCAAATATCTCCTTTTAACATCTTGTTTTTAAATTAATTTTTACATTTATTATTTATTTTCTGCTTCTGTATCCTAGAATGTAAGCTCAAGAAGGGAAGGGAGTTTGGCCCATTTTTATTGTTAACCAATCTCTAGCACTCACCACAATGCCTGCCTAATCAATATATATTTATTGAAGGAATGAATGGATAGTTTAATGGGGAAGAGAGATCACTCACTCATATACTGTATACACTATATTCAAATGCTGAATCTTAGCCTTGGAACCAGAGAATGTACCTACACGCTTTCAAAAACTATAAAACAAGAACCATGATTCAGGGCTTACTTCCATTATTGAAATTCCACAAATAAATGGGTTGGGTAGTGTTGTCCCTAATGACTGTTAAAGCCATGGGAATTAGTTTTCAATCCACAATCAAGTGTACTTTTCTGCTTAAACTCCACAAATAATTTTTGTGGATAGAGAATTTACTGGAGCCAAGTGTTAGTAAAGCAGTTAAGACACTGCAATACCATTATCTCAAAATCAATAAAGATATATCAGCTCTATGGTGGTAATGATATAACAGAACTCTTTCTTGTTTGTCTTAAATATAATGATGATATTACTATAGCTTATAGCAATGAATTTGTTTTGGGGGGGGGATCTTAATGGGTTTGTTTCTTCTGCTTAAAGACCTCTTTTGAAATAGTTTTAAGCTTTGTGGAAGTGAATCTGATATACTTCAATACTCCATTTGGTTTAAATTTACACGGCTAAAGTCCCAAGAACCAGGCTTGAAAAGTATGCTTCCTAGTAAGGGAAATGTTCTATAAAGCCAAACGCTTGCAGGCAGAAAGCACACATATTTTCCTGCTCTCCTTTGCTAACAGTCCAAAGGGCAGAGGGCCCCTCTGGGGTACTCACTCAGGATTTTGCAGATATCACTGACAGCTTTAAAAACCACAGCTGAGAAGCTGACACGCAATCTCACTGTCTTCACATTTGGCAGGCGGAGGCGAAGCGTTTTATGCTGAGGGGTGAAGAGAAGCTTTGCATCTGCCTGGACTCCATATTTGTCCAGAGTCCAGTGCGTTTTCAGAAGCCAGCAATGCTTTTGTTCCCACCAAAAGGCAAAGTCTGACCAGTCTTGGGATATGTCTGCAAACATGAAAAATACAACGAAGTAAAATAAGAGAGAACTTTAGAGTCCATCCATTGTATGCAAGAGCTGAAATAAACAACTGGTCTTCAACTCCCCATCTCCTTTTACAACCCAAGGCTCAACAAGCCTCGGCCCCTCTTCAAGGTCTCTAAAGTGGGGTGGGTAGAAAACAGAGCCTGAACCTTATCACAATTATATTTAGATACAGTGGAAGGAGTAGACGCATACAAATTTTGTTCATGATGAGATGCTGAAGTTCTCTTCCCTTAAGTCCCTTAGTGCCATGGTCCTTTCTGGGAAGGCCAGGAGCATCTGACTTTAATCAAGATTATTTCACTACTAGAAATGAGTCTTTACACCATGGGATCACAATGGGGATATCAATAACTCTCAAAGTCTGCACGGAAGGACTGTAAAGCTGACATTTCACCCCCTCTCTATACTGTCCAGCTCTTTTAACAGTACCATCAGATTCCCAGTTTCCAAAGTATTTCTATATCGAAATCAGCCGAGTATTGCCTTTCTCTCAATGTCACCATCAACATTCTCTCTCCTCCTTCAATGCTGGCATCAAAGTTGAATCTTTTCCCTTTGTCAATGTTGAATCAATATTCAATCTTTTATTTTCTAAAAAAAAATGTTTCTCTCATTCTGTCACTTTATGTTAGATTGAAAACCTTTCTTTTAATGCTGTTAGTAGAAGTATAAATGCTATAACTATTTTAGAAAGTCCTATTATTCAGTAATTCCTCTCCAAGCTCTAGTGCAACACAAATGCCTATATATACTCCCCAAAAACATGTACTGTAGCAGCCCTATAGTCCAACCCAAATCCCCATCAACAGGATAAGTAATGGCATCATCATACGATGGAATATGACACAGCAATAAGAGAAAATGAACCAAAACTATATGCAATATGGGTAAATCTCACAGACATAATGTTAAGTGAAGGAAAACGGATGCATAAGAGTATATCCTGTATGATCCCACCTACATACAGTTTAAAAACAAGTAAAATTATTCCTATCGTGTTAGAATTCGAGGCAGTGGTTACCCTTGGTGGGGCAGTGATTGGGGGGGGTCATATATGATACTTGGGTTGGGGAGCCAGTAACATTCTCTTTCTTGATCTGAGTGGGTTACATGACTATGAAAATTTGTTGAGCAGTACACTTATGATAGGTGCACTTTTCTGTGTATACATTATGCTTCAAGGAAGACTTACTAAAAAATATTTTTTTAATTAAAAAAATTTTTTCTTGGGGCATCTGGGTGGCTTAGCCAGCTGAGCATCTGATTTTGGCTCAAGTCATGATCTCATGGTTTGTGGGTTCAAGCCCTGAGTCAGGCTCTGAGCTGTCAGCACAGAGCCTGGAACCTACTTTGGATTCTGTGTCTCCCTCACTTTCTGCCCCTCCCCTGCTTCTGCATGCATTCTCTCTGTCTGTCTCTCTCTCTCAAAAATAAACATTAAAATTTTTATTTTAAATTTTATTTCTTTATATTTTAGAGAGAGAGCATAAGTGGGGGAGAAAGGATGGAGAGAGGGCAGAGGAAGGGTGAGAGAGAGAAAGAGAGAGAGAGAGAGAGAGAGAGAGAGAGAGAGAATCCCAAGTAGGCTCCATGCTCAGCACAGAGCCTGATGTGGGGCTTGATCCCACAACCCAGGGATCATGACCTGAGCTGAAATCAAGAGTCAGATGCTCAATCGACTGAGCCACCCAGGAGCCCCTTACTCAAAAACCTTGATCTCATTAGTGCAAATGAAATGCGAACATCTGGACAAACTAGATAGAAATTAAAAACAGATAAAAGAAAACAGAACACTATTAAATTCTAGGACAATCATGTTGATTCCTGATGTGAAGACTCTGACCCTTAAGACTTCTCTGTCTTTCTTTAAACAAGGAGAGTAGCAAATGGTAGCTTTGTGTGAAATGATACATTAGCATTGAGCTGAGTTTATCACTGAGCAGTTGAACAGAGAACTGACAGAGCAATTTAATGCCATGCCACCTAACGTCACCTCAGATGTCACCAGTGGAATGGGCCTGTGGAAACATGGTTTCCTAGCTACTAGGGAGCTTTAGTTTGCCACCAAAGACTAAAGTTTTTACAAAGGTGGCTGGGGGTTCAGTTCATGGCTTTTGCAGGATATTCTATTTCTCTTCCTCCTGTGGAGAGGGTGCTTGCTCTCTGGGCCATCATAAGATACATAAGCAGAAAAACTTAGATGATCAGACAGCTTAGATTAGCCATTTACTGTTAGTGCAACAGAGAGGGTTTCAAATGTAGGGAAACCATGAAGAAACCGGCACTTACTGATCTGTTCTACTAACTTGAGCATCAGCCCCCCAACATGCAGGTCTCCGGACACTCTCAGAGTGACGTCTTTCTGCTCCTCCTCATTCGGATGGTCAACCCTGACAACGAGCTCCCAAGAAGCAGATGCAAAGTCCGTGGATGAGAGCATCGTGGCAAAAGCAGGTGTCTGCCAACCAAAGGTGAGACACAGATCAGAATGTGAGAAGGAATCCGGAGCTCGCCAGTATGTCCCGCAGGGCAAAACTGTTTTCCATTTTGACCTCTTCTTCAGAAAGTCTGCAGGGTTCCCAGTGCTCAGTATTAAATTTAATATCTGAACTTTGAAGGAAAAAAGTCTTATAAATTCTCAAGGTTTACAGATTTATGTAACTATCATTCTATTCCTGCAGGACCACTTGCCTATTTATTTTCTGTGCCTGCCCAATGCATCAGTCTTCATTTTCTATCTTGATGGACATTTCTTGACTTTCTCTGAACTAATGTGGTAATAGGCAACAAATCATGGCAACCCTTGATATCTTTTTAAACAATCACCTTCATGGAAATATAATTTGCATGCAATAAAATGCACAGATTCTTTTTTGAATATAGTTGACAATGTTACATTAGTTTCAGGTATATAATATAAAGATTCAACAACTCTAAGTTATGCTATGCTCACCACAGAAATGCAGATTTTAAACAATGCCTTTGTTATATACAAATGATGCCTCGATAAAGTTTATTTTAGAAAAGGATGCCATTAAAATCTTTATCTCTCTACCTACTTATCTATATCATTCCATTCCTCCTACAAATATTGATGACATCTTCTGGTATGAAATTTTTTAAAAAGTATAGCAGGGGCACCTGGGTGGCTCAGTTCATTGAGCCTACAACTTCAGCTCAGGTCATGATCTCATGGTTTGTGGGTCTGAGCCCCATGTTGGGCTCTGTGCTGACAGTTCAGAGCCTGGAGCCTGCTTCGGATTCTGTGTCTCCCTTTCTCTCTCTGACCCTCCCTTGCTTGCGCGTGCTCTCTCTCTCTCTCTCTCAAAAAATAAATAAATGTTAAAAAAAGTATATCAAAATAGTTTCTATTTTGGTCGTATAAAATGTAGTTTTACCTTAAATGCGTATAAAGATATAGATCATTAATAATTATTGCCAGGTATTTGATTTACTTGTGTTACCATTTTATATTATACAGAAGTTGATGAATTCAGTGCATCAATTAAGTTTTTTTCTGGCAATAGACTGAAGGAGTGACACACAAAGCCCACTCTTCAAAACACAGATGGGTTGAGAACTTCAGACTCAGAATATAATTTTCCTCTCATTTGAGGAACAAGAATAAAAATGAGCTAACTCGTATCAAAACTGATGATGTTTCAGGAGGAAATAGGAACACTGGAATCCAGAACTGGGTGAACCTAAAACGATGGCTCTGTCTTACTTATAAAACAGAAAGCATGTGATACTACCTCTCCTGGCTAAAGATTTAAAATAAAAGTCAGGCCTTTAAATGATTCACATCTTTCCCCCTTTACTACGTAGAGACGGCTTATAAGAGATCCATGTTTCCAAAAGGTCTATTTTTGAGAAACATCAGTGCACTCAAACTCCTAAGAAGGAGCTTCTCCAATGGAAAGTGCACAAGTCCGCTGGGCATCTATTAACACTGGGCATCTATTAATTCTGTTCAGTAGGTCTGGGGTGGACGTGGAGACCCTGCATTTATAACAAGTTCCAGGTGATGCTGGTCTGTGGCTCACACTTTTGAGTCCAGACAATGACATGAAAAATCAGCTCCAGGACTCAGTCCCTCCTTCAATCTAGCCAAATCGATATTAAGCCAGGGACTGTGGTGATATCTGAGGAACATTATTTTTAATAATAAGTAATAATGATATCACCAGTGTTATACCACTTTTGTGTACATTTGAAACTGTTCACATTTTAAAGCATCAGAGAATCAAAATACACAAAAATGATACACTGCAAATCTGAACAGGCTTAGGACAGACTTTATTTGCTCAAATCAAATTTAAGAGTTTAGAAGTAGCGCTTTGTGTTTTTATGACCAGAAGGATCCCAGTGATGTAATGCTTGTACCTCTGCATTCACAGTGGCATATATGGACACCTCTTGCATGGGCAGTGAATGCTATGCCATCGGGCCTAAACTCTCGCTTCACTGTCATCAGCAGGCTCAAGTATCATTTAATATGTACTTAGCTGGTGATGTACTCTGTGTGAACCACGGAGTATGTGTTATCTCCTTTACCTGCTCAGCAATCCCATTTAGAAATGAGGAGACTCAGGCTCAGAGAGGTTAGCCAACTTGTTGGAAGTCACACAGCAAGATAGATGGTGGAGCCCAGATAGAAATCCAGATCTTTGTAACTCCAAACCGTCAACCACTACACGGGGACATGTCCTTGACAAAGATGCAACACCGATATGATATGAAACTTACAACCACAGGGGTTAAACTCTCAGGAACCTTCACTAAGTGTTTCTACTAACATCTTTCCCAGTGAGGAGGTAGTAGAGGTAACTCCATAACATGACATTGAACTATTTGACTTTAAGACCCTCACAATTTCTACAATGCTATGGTTTGAGGTTTAGGTACTTAAAAAATTTGTACTTTAAAGTGACTTCTCACTGCTTGTTTCATGAGTATCAGTCATAGGTCTCTCTTTTCCTAACCAGGGCAGTCAAAACACTTCTCACCTAGGCAATATATGGTGATTCCCTGACAGCGAAATTCAGGCTAAAATTAGACAATCTGGTTTCCCCACATTCCTCTCCTATCTTTCTGCACCTTCATTTTTGAGTGAACTTCTCATCTGCAGCAAGCTGTTACTTGTTGAGGAGAGCAGCAAACTCCAACTGGGAAAGCACATCCAAGGAGGCCAGAACGGGAAGCAAAGTGCACCAGCCGACCTGTCTTCCCTGGGAGAAGCCCATTTGTCCACCTTGCAAACAGAAAATTCAAGAAAGAAGGACAGACGGAGAGGCAGACAGCCAGCCAGACAGAAAAACGAGGGAAATAGCCCCTGATGTCGGTCCAAAGGCCACTGGGCCTGTCCGTTGCCAGCCCTGCAGGGTCCTGGGGCCAGGGAGAGTGTGGTGGGTGGATATAAACCTGCCCCTTGACCCACAAGCGCAGTCCCCGCGGCTAGACAGAGGGTTTATTTTGCGAGGCCAGATGCACAAGGCCGGAGAAAGTGGTCCCATGCAAGGACGTTATTATTACTTTTAAAATGTTTTATTTATTTCTGAGAGAGAACAGCGTGAGCAGGGGAGGGTCAGAGAGAGAGAGAGGAAGATACAGAATCTGAAACAGGCTCCAGGCTCTGAGCTAGCTGTCAGCACAGAGCCCGACGCGGGGCTCGAACCCACAAACCGTGAGATCATTACCTCAGCCGAAGTCGGACGCTCAACCGACTGAGCCACAAGGACGTTATTTTTAAGTAAGCAGCTATTTACGTGCAAGGGGCTGCAGAAAGGAAGAGACAGGGGTTTCGGGCATCTGCGGTGCACGTTACAGCCCCCCCGTCCGCCCCGCAGCCCTCGGTCCCCACCTGCTTTCCGGGCGCTGGTAGAGGGCAGCCTCGCGGACGCGCACGTGGACGCCTGAGCCCCCAGAACCCGCGCGGAGGCGCCCCAGGCCGGGCCGGCGCGCCAAGCGGTCAAAGCTGGCGAAGCGGAGCGCGGGGACCGGCGTTCGCGGACGCGGCGGCTCGGCGGCGCTGGGTCCGCCAGGCTGCGCGCGGCCGCTGCAGGGACGCCTCGGTGACCTCCCGCCGGAGCTCGGCGCCCGCCACCAGCGGGACGCGGGGCGCCGGGTGCGCGGTCCCCGCCCTGCGCGGCTGTGCGGCTGGGCCGACGCCGGCGCGCGGCGGGCAGGTGAGGGCACGCCCAGCCCCGGGCCTGCCGGGTCTCGCTCCGGACGGGAGAAGCGTGTCGCAGAGTTGTGAGCGCTGAGGGGGAGCCGAAGGGCTGCGGCGCGGCGGGAGGGCGCGGAGAACCAGAGCGGACGCTCACCCCCCGCGCCCCTCTAGCGACCTCTCATCCCGCCTCCCGTAGGTCACGTCCAGTGTTCCCGGTTCTCCGAGCCCCGCTGGGGACTAGCCGCTTACGTGGTTAGACTGACTGCGTGCCCTGCCCTCCAGGTATACCTATCGCTCACACCCAGGGGTACGTCCGGGCCCGGAGTCTCCCGTCTCCCCTTTAAAGAGCCCGGGGGACCTACGATCGCCAGGTGTAAGAAACAAGAGTGGCTCATCTCTGAGTAACAGGATGATGTAAACCCCTGAGAAGGGGGAAGCGCTCAAAATCATGCACAATGGGAGACCCAGGGGCAACCCAGCCCCGCCCCAGGCCGGAATGGGGTGGCTCACCTCGGATTTCACCTCCTGGTCCTTACTGTCGGATTTACTCCGGAAGAAGGCTGGGCCACCCTGGAAGGGTGGGTGACTTTGGGCAATTTACACAACCTGTGCAAGCGTCCTTGGTTCATATTACACACATCCGTTGAGTGTTTGCTATGTGCCAGGCTTGGGGCTGAGCTCTAAGGATTCAGTGGTTTCATGAAAGGTCAAGGCAACGATAACTTCCTCTTCTGTGAAATGGGTAGAGAGGTGGAATGTCTGCCGCCATTGCTCGGTGGGATTTCATTCAGTCCATGCCAGAATCTCATGCAGTGTAATATAGGCTTAAGCGAGTCACACCAAGTACATGAAGCTCGGGATAACTTCATTTAAAATACTATAAAATTTAGAAGTGGAATCTTTGTTTTTGCTTGAACGTTACCGTAGTCAGCTGTTATAATGGGTTTGAAAGAACTTTACATTTAATTTTAAAAAGGTCAGTTGAATAATTGTTAGCAAATGTGGGTTTTTATAATTAAAACTAAACATCAAAACTTGAAACTGAAATTCCTAATTTGGTAAAGTTTGTCAACTACAGGAATGATGGCAGCTGTCACTGGTCCCACTTCCCTATGTACCCAACACCAACTGAGCAAATATATTATCTTGGGCAGAAAGTGTTTAAAGGGTTGCTTTGTGGAGACTGCTCGTCGCTGTTTAGGACATAGACATTCTTTTAAGATTTTCTGTGTCATCTTGAAGTAGTAATGGTTTCATTTATACCAAATTGGTATCTCATTTTAGTAGAAAATATCTGGGTTTTGCTGAAGAATTTAACTGGCTTTAAGCCGTCTGTTTGGTCTGTTATTTTTTAAGCTTTTTAAAAAAATGTTTACTTATTTATTTAGAGAGAGAGCACGAGAGTTGGGAAGGGGGCTAAGAGAGAGGGAGAGAGAATCCCAAGAAAGCTCTGAGTTGTCAGTGCAGAGCCTGATGCAGGTCTCAATCTTGGGAACTATGAGATCATGACCTGAGCTGAAATCAAGAGTCAGCTACCTAGCCTACTGAGCCACCCAATGCCCCTATTTTTTAAGCTTTTAATTGAAATATATTTTATATTTATATGCAAGAATACAAATCATGAATATATAGCTGATGAATTTTCACATACTGAACACACCTGTGTAATGAGCATCAAGATCAAGAAATAGAACATTACCAGTCTCCCAGAGTTCCTTAGTCCTCCCTTTTAGTTACTGCCATCCCCCTCCCCCCAGCAGTAACCACTACCCTGACTTTTAACTCCTTACACGGCTTTTGCTGATCTTTGTAGTGTATGTAAATGGTACTGGGTGGTATGTGCTATTTAATGTCTGGCTTCCTTTGTTCAACATTTTGTTTTGAAGTTTCATTCATATTGTGTTCCACATTGTGTGTCCTAGGCTTTTTTTTTTTTTTTTTTAACTTACTACCCGGTTATTATCATTTTTGTGACACAGATCTGACACATCCCTTAAGGTCCTGGGTTAGAAGTGAATAAAAAGTGTATTCTGGCTTTAAAATTTCATATATATATATATGTGCATATATGCACATATATGCACATATATATATATATATACACACATACATATATATATTCAGTCACCCTTTCTCTCTCCTAAAAAACATGTAGAATCAACACTTTTTTTCCTAACGTTTATTTATCATTGAGAGACAGAGAGACAGAGCATGAGCATGGGAGGGGCAGACAGAGGGGGAGACACAGAATCTGAAGCAGGCACCAGGCTCTGAGCTGTCAGCACAGAGCCCGACGTGGGGCTTGAACTCACAAATTGTGAGATCATGACCTGAGCCGAAGTCGGACGCTCAACCGACTGAGCCACCCAGGCGCCCCAACACTTTGAATCAGTTATTTAATCTACTCATACTAATTAAGCAATGAATTAGTTTATTTAATTCACTCAGCCATTCTATTACTGTGGGCCAGACACTGTGATACGTGCTGAAAATACTCGGATTATCTAGGCGCAGACTTTATCTTCAGATCTAATTATGATCCTAGGGGATTCAGAAGAGGGATATCTACTTTGGCCAAGTTTGCAGAGATGAGGGAAGCATGAGAAAAGTTTTTGGAAAGGAGGTGATTTTTGAGATGGACTTTGAAGCATTGGATAAGAGCTTGATAGTTGCCTATAATAACCTATAGTCTCTAGAAAATGGTTTTCAGATGTTTTTAAGTTAGCAGATAGTTGTGGTTGGCTTCCGTTGGCAGAAGGTGGAGGAGCTCTAACTGCTGACCTCAAAACTTTGTGTGTAGGGTACAAACAAATATTGAAACAACTGTTATCAGACACCCAGATACTGAAAAACTGATGTAACAATTAGTATTCTCCCAAGGTAAGTTAGTCATGTCTGCATTATCATATGGGATATGAGTGGTGAGAAGTGTGACCACATCCTTATTCACTGAACAGGAAAGGAAAATAAGGAAATAAAGGAAATCACAGGAAAGGGACCTTTGAAGGTCCTCCTTGCCTTGTAAACACAAGCAACTTTCTTCCTCCAGCACCTTTGCACTCCCACTGGATGAGCCCTCAGGCCTCTATATTCTTAATTGAGAATGAGAGAAAGCTGCTGGAAGGAAAAAGCGGTGGAGTTTTTTTTTTTTTCTTTCTTGATCGATGATTTGATTTGACCAGACAGGATATTATCCAATGTAAACTTCTTTGTTAAGTATTATAAACATGCTAAGTGTCTATCTAGCAACTAAGAAATGGCAACAGATTCCTGAAACGTATTTTTATTTTCGCTCAGTCCTCAGGACTCAGGAGCTGTGTTCATGTTTGTGGAGAACATGTTGTGTTCGGTGCAAAGAAGCCGAATGTGCCTATTAAAGTTACACCCGCCTTTCCAGCTGGATGGATAACAAGCACTTTCTATGCCCAGGCAAGTTCTATAATTTTCTCCTTGCGAGGGCGGAGAGGGTGTGTCCTGATGTATCTACAGGCACTAGATGGAGACAGAAAAGTTAAGAAGGCTTTGCTGGAGGCCACACTAGAGCCCACCATTGAGGATGAGAGGAACAAGAAAGATGGCTACCCCCTCCTCCTTCCTTCCCTTCCTCCCTTCTTTCTTTCTGCTTACCTCCTTTACATACATCTCAATCAAAGGGTACAAAAGAGTATACACTGGTAATCAAGTCTTCCTCCTCCTTGGTAATAAACTTTCCTTCCTCAGAAAAAAACAGTTACCTATTTCCTCCAGAACCTTCCAGAGATAGTCTATACATGTAGACTATTTTTGCTCATTGTACAAGTGATAGTATTGTATAAATATTGTTCTATATTTTTGCTTTTTTTCATTTTAAAATAGCTTGGTGATTACAGTGGCCATCGGTCATATTCATGACTGCCTACCGTCCTTGGAAAGTCCTCTTTATGTTTGTAGAAATCCTTATGTTAGTATCCCAGTCTGGAAATCAGGACTCCAATTCCTGACCTCCCCTGTAGCTGGGGCACAGGCCTACAAACTGGACTCTGTCACTCAGGCCTACTCAGATGTGACTTTAATTTGGAAGTGAGTGAGATGTGGAGACAGGATGCTCTTGGAGTCATCATAGACAAGAATCATCGATAGATTTAAAAATTAGTAAATATATGATGAGATACAGGATATTTGCAGCTTCAAGGTATCTTCTGCAAAGTATTTGTCAATTACCTAGAGAAAGATAGTAACATCAGAGTGGAAAAAGTGGTGATCAAAATGAATGTCATTGGTAGTAATGCGTATTGACCTCACATACCTCCTGAGAAGGGCACAGTATCACTTCCATAGCATTCTTGCCCAAAACATGTAACTTCAGTTTACTCATGAGAAAGTACCAGGGTAATAAGAGGCAGAAAAACTGAGGAACTGTCTCAGGTCAGAGGAGACTGAGGAGACATGGCAACTAAATGCCATGTGAGATCCTGGACTGAATTCTGGAGCAGAGAGGGGACATCAGAGGGAAAGCTTTTGAAGTTTGAATAGGGCAATAGATTACTTAATAGCATTATTTCAATACCAATTTCTTGGTTTCTGTAACTGTACTGTGGTTTTTTATGATGTTAACAAATGGAAGCTGGGTAAAGGGTATAAGGTTCTCTCTGTACTATTTTTGTAACACTTCTATCAGTCTAAAATTATTCAAAACCAGGAGAAGGAGGGGGAACACAGGAGCATGGCTTGACCCTGAAGCAACTGACTAAGAGGGTAAGGAGGTTTGGGGTACTGGAGCTAGCCATGACCTTCTGGTGAGCAGGGGTAGGGAAGACCATTACAGATGATGATTCTTATAATCCAGAGTTTTCAAACTCAACAGTGGTTTGGGGACCATATTTGGTATCCTTACCTCTGGCAGTGACCTTACAACATGGTGGTTTAAAGGTTTTGGAAAATGATAAATCTGGGTTTATCTGCTTGTATTGTTGACACTAAAT